GGGGGGGGGGGGGGGGGGGGGGGGGAAGCTCTTTGCTTCTCTCAAGAGACGAAGTGGTTTTACAAGATATTGGGTCAGCTGTCACTTAAGACAGGGTTCCTCAACCTTGGCAACTTTAAGACAGGTGGACTTCAACTCCCAGAATTCCCCAGCCAGGAAGAGATTTCCACTGTCCTTGCTATCAGTTGTTATAGCCATAAAGCCACTGGTCCAATGAACAAACACCAAAGTTACTTTATGGTATATCATTTATTTTCTATAGTGTTTGTATACTACCCAGAGACTTTTGTGATGAGTGTTCTAAAAATAAACCAAAGAAGAAAATAAACAAGAATTTTTGAAAAAGTTAAAATTAGTATGAGTTGTTCCTTTTGGTTTTGCTGATCGAACCTTATTTAAGCAACAGGGTGAAACTTTTCTCTTCCATCATTTTCCTACCTTTGCCTTCTGTTTTTCTTCATTAGCTTTTTCAGTAAAAAAAGAAAAGAAAAAAGAAAAGAAATGCACAGGAAAATGCAGCTAGTAAAGCAATGGACTTTAAGCTTCATCTTACCTTCATAATTTAAATTATTTTTTAAAATAATTTTATTGAAGTTTAATAAACATAGTAAAAACTAATACAAACTAAACTACAAGAAAAAGGAAAAAGAAAAATGCAGAAAAAAGAAAAAAGTAGAAGAGAAAAGAAAAGAAAAGAAAAGAAAAGAAAAGAAAAGAAAAGAAAAGAAAAGAAAAGAAAAGAAAAGAAAAGAAAAGAAAAGAAAAGAAAAGAAAAGAAAAGAAAAGAAAAGAAAAAGAAAAAGGCAGCAAAGACAATAATAAAAAAGCAGCTTCCAACCTTCATCACACTGAGCATAAGCTAATATACTAACTTTTCACTCTCTTTTAAAGTTACAGATAAAAAAACCTCTTCTCCCCATAGCCTAACTTTTATCTGTGCACAATCCAGAAATCATCATCTTTTCAGTCCTAGTTCAGCAAAAAGTCCATTAGCAGTTATCAGAAATATCAAACAAATAGTTTATCCTTGGCCAAATAGTCCAACTGTATATTCCTTCTTTTTGCTTTGCACAATCTTGACCTTTAAATCATTCCTATGGCATCACAGGATTTGATATTTTGTCATTCTTTGGTATCTAAAAGAAGTGTTTAAAGCTTTCACCAGCCTACTTTGTAAATCCCATAAAGAGGTATCATCCAGAATTTCTTGTTGCAGTAGTTTCATGTCCAGATCCTTTTCTTCTTTTTTTAAAATAAGAATTGTATTAAGTAATAAAAAGCATACAGGTAAAAGCAAACAAGAACTAATAATCAAAAAGAAAAGTGGAGAACAAAAGAGTTAAAGAAGAAATACAGAAGTGATGAAAACTAAAGAAAAAGGAAAAAAAGAAAAATTACAAAAAGGATGACTTCCGACTTCTTATACAGCAGATATAAATGAATCACATAGTGACCTCTTACTCTTAAACTACATCTTTACATATTTTGTACAACCTATTATTTTAACTAATCATCAAATCCATAAATCATGATTTCATTTTTTTCTGTCTCCTGCAAAAAGTCCAAAAGGGGCTT